GGAATTACAGGAACTTTCAAAAACAAAAAAGTCCTCTTTGAGTTTCGGCGTGAACGCCACGTAAGAATAAAAAAAAACTATTTGATAAGCAAATGCAGTTTCTCTTCTCTAAGTGGAAGAAGTAACCCAGTCTCCCCAGAGCGGGACTCGTGTCGAGACGAATTCCTTAACGACCATCCCCTTCCTGGGTAGCTTTAGTGACTTACCGTCCAAGCCCTCCCACAGCACTTGGCGCCAGCTTTGAAGTTGCTACTGTACTTCGGACTTGACGAGCAACTCGAGAATTTCTTTTTGCACATGCGCAGCACCTTTCCTCCTTGAGCTGCGATTGGCTGAAAACAGGACAACAGCATCATCGCCACAAACAAAACCACGAGCTTCATCTGACAAGAGAATAATCTTCATCATAAACAAATTCCAAGACTAGAAAGGCATTTCGCAGATTTTATCTTGTTTTCGGAGAAAACTAAGGTGCTGCTTAAATTTACAACCATATTTCGATCGCCTGAAAGGTTCCGACGAATTCAATCCTAGGGTGCAGGAGGGAAACGCGTGTAATTCAGACACACGCGCGCACGCAAGACGCGTTTCTCATTAAGCTATTCCCGGTTACAGTTCCTCAGAACCAAATCTTGTAAAAATAATTCTAACATATTTAGACCGTAAGTTACTGTACGCAATAAGGACAACAATAAATGTGTCAAGAAACAACCCCGAAAATCTTGTCAGTAGCAAAATTGACTCTTTCTCTGGTAGTTTCTGCAATCATGTGCAAGAAGATTCGAGGACTGCACGTTCACTTTCAAAGGTCCTTGGCGGTCAGTGAAGGCTTTTCAGAAGAACTTAAAATTAACATAGAAACGCTCTTCCTGTCTTTATTAATTAAAACTTGTGGAGTTTTTCCAATATTAGAAGAACGCAGCTCATTTTGAAGGACTGGCAAGCACGGGAACTAGCCGACCAGAATTGTCTTGAATTTAGGGAATCGGAAAGTATTGAAATTTCAAATCGCCACAGCAAAAAGAATGCAACCATCTCGGCTCGGGGGCATTCTGAGAGGTCAAGTGAATAACGAAAACCTACTTACCCTTGTCTTAAATGTCGATAAATGCTCGTGTAGCTCTTCAGGAACAACTCCAGGTGACAAACTGGCTTCTCTGATGTGCTCGAAGCCGGCCGAGTGATATGCCCTGCTACAGATCAGCGACCGGACGAAGTACAAAACTGACGTGTTAGCCAGTTTCTGAACACGTTAGAAATTCCGCAAACATAAACACATTTAATAGCCTTGTGCCTTGAAATAAAGGAATTGTTGAGCGCCCCTGTTTACTCAAACACAGCTTTTCACATAACGCATCCTTAAGTTCCAAAACTGTGTTAAAAATCCCACAAAATTCTGTTTGCATCGAGAGTGAGGAGTAGCTAGGCATCTGATGCTAAGAAGTTTAAACAAATTGCCGGAAACCATCGAAACTTGTTTGTTTGATTGATAAAACAATTAACATGCAGATGGTATAAACTATTTATCAAGGTTAGACAGTTCAACAAAGGGGCACCTTTCCAACTAAGCGGAATTTACTCTATCCTGGCTTGAAAATAGGAAGCTGTAAGCTGTAATTAGCAGCATCGACGTATAGATCCCTGTCATTCAGTTTAATAATACAAACTGTACTTTAAAAGCTTACAAAAAAGCAAATCGGTCCTAATCGCCAATTGCGTGCAAAACAGAAGCTCATAAATATAAGCAAGCTAAACAGTGGACTTAAACTTGGCCTTTCGATTGTCACCGGCAAATTTTCAAAAACCCTTTTCGTTACTGAAAAGTTTCGTTTCGGAGCGTCTGAATGATTCAATAACGCTTCTCTTTGATAGGCCATTCTTCACAAAACAGTGAACAGTATGCGAGGTATTACGTAACCTTTTGGGAAGAATCCGAGGTGAATGAAAAGGAGACAGTCAGTTTTGAGGGGATGTCAACCAAATAAATTGACCGTCAAAAGCGATTAACATATTTTATCGAATTTACTTTACAACATATTTGAAAGTGTCAATTTGAAGGCACTG